TGACTTGGGCATATGTGAGTGTACAAACTTTTTGTTTATCTCTGTTTTTTAGTGATTAAAAACTTTTATGAGTATGAAGTGTGTCATTGACTTATTTGTCCTCTGCTTTTTTTTTTTTGGTGATAGTTAAGAACTTGGAACTAAATGTGTGAATATTACAGCTGTTTTTATTTATCTCCTGTTTTTTAGTGTCTTTTAAGAAGTTGGATACTGTGGAGTGTGCAGGTTGCTTATTTACCACTGCTGTTTGATAGTGGTAGTTAAGAACTTGAACCTGTATATATGTGTGAAGTGTGCCATTTGTTTTATTACCTGTGTTTCATTTTTTAGTATCAGTTAAAAACTTAAACCTGGACACATGTGAAGTATGTCAGTTGGTTGTGGACTATGCTGATAAGATGCTGGAGGATGATGACTTTGAAAAGGATATTGTTGCTCTAATTGAAAAAATATGTGGTGTGGTACCTACAAGTGTTGGTGCTCAGGTAGAAATTTTCTGTTACTTCAGACTACTACTGAAACATATTACTTACATTAATAAGAATAAACATTTTATTTTGTATTTCTGATATAAGAATTTTGAGTATTACAGTTGATCAGTCAGTTATAGATAACGGAAAAATTTGTGAAATGTATACTACTAACTTTCCTTCTTATCCTTTTGAAGGCTTCTTACATTTATTCTTAAAATATTGTTGAGACTCAGCAAAAAAGCTCAATTAAATATCAGACAATGTAAAATTACTTTTTGTATCCATGTATTCAACTAGTTAGGAATGGACATTTGAAAGTTTGTAGCAGCTTTATTATAATGTTTGGTCACATTTTCAGCATAATATACATAACATCTATTTGTACAGTACAAATTATTAAATCTTCCTCAAACATAAGGTTTACGAAGTGTGATTTTGTTGCACTTAATGTGCATTTTTAATTTAATTTAAAACTTATTTTTCAGTGTGAGTCAATAATTAAGACATATGGACCTTACATATTACAAATGATTGGTCAGCTTGCCAACAGTAAAGAAGTTTGTCAGGTAATGTTTTGGGGATAGTTATCTTTGTGTAGTACATTGTTGGGTTGGAATTAATACCTATAGCAGATGATGTAGTGTTATGTTGATATTAGTACATAGAAATGTTGATTATGATGTATTCATATTAGTACCTTTTGCTAATACTACAGAGTATATTTCATTTTAGTTGTCAGTAAAAGTAATAAAATGAAATATACTCTGTAGTATTAGCAAAAGGTACTAATATGAATACATCATAATCAACATTTCTATGTACTAATATCAACACAACACCAATTAATGGAATCAGTAACACCATCATAATGCTGTATTACAATCTATAGGTATTAATGCAAGCAAAACACTATTGTCAGTAAAAGTGAAGTGTTTTGCTTGCATTAATACCTATAGATTGTAATACAGCATTATGATGGTGTTACTGATTCCATTAATTGGTGTTGTGTTGATATTAGTACATGTAGTTGCTGTTAGTGTTTTATAATATATTATTAGCTGTAGCTAATAATACAATGCTCCATTGGTATTAATGTGCAGTGTTACAGAAATCAAGCAATAAATACTTATGCATAACTAACTTTGGCTTTTTTTAGGTTTAATTTTTTGTTGTTTGGACTATAAAAAGCACACACATTTCTCTAACTTGTTTCAACGTAAAGATAAAATTAAGGATCTTAAATATGAATCTTTAATTCTTCTGTTTCAGGCTATTGATTTATGCAAGGCAACTACTGGACAAGTTCATCTTCTGGGTGGAAAAAAATGCTCCTTTGGACCAAGCTACTGGTGTGCTAGTAGTGCTCATGCCAGTGCTTGTAAGGTAAAGGATCTTGTTATTAAAGCATGATGTCTTTGAGGGTAGTTGTTAAAGTTTTGTTAATTATTCAGATTTTATGAAATATCTATCAAGTTCCTTTTTTTAGGATTATTTCTTATTTATCGCAAACAACTGTTTTATGAATCTGTCATTATTTGAAACTCATTAAACAGATGTATTTACAGAACTTTTGGTAGCATTAAAGCATGTAACTTAAATTGAATACCAAGTACTTGGATTTTTTATACTACATAATTCTTCACATACCGTATATGTGTAATTAAATTGGTGCTACATACTACTTGTATACATAGGAATTTACACTGTACAATGTAAAGAGTTCATGTGGTAACTGAAGCTATATAATCACTCGTTCATGTGGTAACTGAAGCTATATAATCACTCGTTCATGTGGTAACTGAAGCTATATAATCACTCGTTCATGTGGTAACTGAAGCTATATAATCACTCGTTCATGTGGTAACTGAAGCTACATAATCACTCGTTCATGTGGTAACTGAAGCTACATAATCACTCGTTCATGTGGTAACTGAAGCTATATTATCACTCGTTCATGTGGTAACTGAAGCTATATAATCACTCGTTCATGTGGTAACTGAAGCTATATAATCACTCGTTCATGTGGTAACTGAAGCTACATAACCACTTGTTCATGTGGTAACTGAAGCTATGTACTTTTTATCTCTACTATATGATGTTTCTAACTGCTTTTTTTACTTGATGTCTAGTTTTTCTCAACAATTTATTATCTGTGTTCTATTTGGTGTGGATTGTTTATTGGATATTTAAGTGAAAGCAGTAGTGCCCTTATTAATCTTAATATTAGTTTATGTTTCCTAAAAATAGTGCTTTTTGCTATACATTTCGGGCACCTTTTTGCTTTGCCAAAATATCAAACCAACTCTGATCTGCCATCCTTTTTAGATTGTGCATAAGCTCTGAAATAGATGTGGAGAAATAACTTGCATTGTTATGAATAAAAGTAGAAACAATGTATAGCTTTATTTTATAAAATGATTATTAAAGAAGTGACAGTTTGTAAAACTGTAGCCTCTTTACATATGGAAGAGATAGCCTTTCTTTAAAGTACAACATTAATTTTGATTTGTTAGATTTCATATTCTTGAGTTAAAAATAACAATATCATTTTTTTTTTCTAGGCTGTGTCATACTGTAAACAGAAGGTGTGGAAGAAGTAGTTGCTGCTGTAAAGAAACATTCAAATCAGTTGTAGTCAAAAACAACCTTTTTTTAATTGAATATATGAGAGTAATCACAGGATCTTTAATATAACACTGCAGTTGTATGTTTGCAGCTAAGGTTTCAAATTAGATTGTTGCATTATTACACAGTTTATAATTTTTTATAGTAATAAATATGTGATGCTTATCTATCAATCTACTTATAATTATGTATTAAATCAGTTTGTTTTGTGATACACATTTTGTACTAGTATATTGTAATTAATTCATAATAAAGAAGATAGAAGTGTAGCGACAGTAACCTTATGATATTTTGTATTTGCTAATATAAGCATTAAAGTGTTTCAAGTGTGTTTAGTTTTCTTTATTTCGGTGAGTTAGCAATGAGAGAAGAAAAAAGCACTAAAGTTGTCCATTGTGGTCATTTAATCAACAGAGAAGTTATTGTAACAAGTTTATTACTACTTTGACAGCTGAAAACTGCTGTTCTTATTTGTCCAGCAAGAATGACAGTATTAAACACTAACCGGTATAAAGTAGAATATATTTTCATGCGGGAAACCTGACATTATGTAGTATTTATTAACACAACATTATGGGTAATTCTATCAAGGCCAAAAGTACCATATTGTTACTGCCAGTAGCAGTATGCTGGAGAACCTCAAAACACATTGTTTTAGTAGAACTTCAGGCAGAGTAGACATAGTAAGTTTGAGAACTTTAATGGACTACATCTGCCTGTTGAAAGAAGGCCTCAATATAGAAGCCAAAATAGTCCCTTTTTCTTTCAACAGGAAGTTGCAGACCACTAAAGTTTTCAAATCTATATACAAATATTGAAGGTGGATTTACTGTTGGATATTTCAGTAGATAATATGCACATATTTGTGACATTCATGTGCCCAGCAAACTTACAGGAAAGTAGTGACATAAAAATGTAAGAAGTTTGTGTTACTGTATATAAAGTTATTTTTTTTGGTAGCCAAGCTGATACATCAGGAAGTAGAAAAGAACAGTATAAAATTATTAAGATTTTTTTCTTTCTGTGATATCTTGCAGAACTATAACAAACGTTTTTTTTTCAGTTATAAAGAAAGAAAATTGTATTCTCATGCTTATTCTGTTTCAGTATCATTGAAAAGTGTCAGAATTTAAACATTTGACCAATAAGAGCTCTTATGTGATAAGGAAGATTCATAACTTCATTTTTACTTATGGATTTGTGTACAATGAATACTATAAAGTTTCAGTACAACATGAAAAAAATTACCATGTTTTGAATTTTTAACAGTTAAATGTACTTTGTTGATTGTATTTGATTTACTTTATATGTATTTTGCTGCTTCCTTGCTTAGTAGCTGATTCTACACATTTTAATCATCCTTTTTATTATTATTATTGACCATACCTAACTCACATTGCAAAATTCAGAAGACAAACATGTACACTTAGTGTTTTATTTACTATTGTACAGCTGTACATATATGGTCCTTTGCCTCGTTCAGTGGAAATGACGTTAGCAGTTTCCACCAATGGTCAGTGTTGTTTCCTGTCCATCTCGTAATTCAGTTTCAGGAACACATACATTGAAGCTGTGAACGAATTAGACAATATACAACAGTTATAAGACATATTAGTCCGAAGAAAAAGTCAAAAACAATCTTTGTCTTTAAAAAATGATTTTGATGAAATTCCACTGAAACCAATAAAGATATAAAATCTAAGTTATGCGAAATAACATTTCAGATCTGTTTTCTTTATGCCACACATCAACGAAGGAATTTATCAGTTTGGCTGGACAAATGTAAAACAAAAATTGATCTACAATGCTATTCAATACAATAAATTAAATGTTAAGATCTAAAAAATCTGTCTAGCAAAACAAATAGGTTCATTAGGCTTAACAAAAACAATTAAAATACTAAGTTTCATCATATTTGTTAGGCCAAATAAACGTCTTGGTTTTGATAGCTTACGAACGTTTTTCACTATAGCACTGTATTATGAGACGATAATTTGTTCCTGCACATTACTTATTGTATCTGTAAAAAAGTATGTTGCATTTAATGATTTTACTGTTATTACGTGACTGTTCTCTTGTCCCTCGATGGGACAGCGGTAAGTTTAAAGACTTACAATGCTAAAATCCGGGTGTTCGATTCTTCGCGGTGGACATAGCGGATAGCCATATGTGGCTTTGCTCTAAAAAATTGTGTCTTATGCATGTTAACTTTTAACTATATCCAAATTTTGATTCATTTACTTAATTTCACTCCCTGTTACAATGTACAAGCAAATTCCCCTCGTACACATCATGATGTGTAATGTAGTGTAGGTAAATAGAGGTAAACGAGTTTCATTCTTATGAGTATCGGCTAAATACTTTATAGTTTTTACTGAGGTATTTATTATTTGTTCATTGTCAACATATTTTATTACTAGTCGTAATTGGTTTGTAATTTTATTTCAGTATAATCTCGCTTTCACGAATGTATACAAGCGACAACAGTTATAACAATAACAAGTGAAAGTCCGGGGTTGTGTAATATAGCACATGAGGGTAGTTTCTTCTATTAAAACATCCTAAAATTCCAAAGATAAACTAAATTCATTCTTTCAAAGGACCACTTATTAAAGTTTGTAGCCGAAACGTTGTGTCGAATAAAATAAATAATTATTTGGAATTTAAGATTGAAATATGAATATAGTATTTCAGTAAGCTTACAGAAATTTATATTAAAAAATCGTGAAATAACTTGTGAAGATACGATGATGAATAACGGGAAAACTAACACCACATATAACCGAACTTTAAAGATAGTTTGTGTGATGTCAGTTTTCCAGTTATTGATTTTTATTGAATTATTGCACAACAGCAGTTTTAAGAACTTCCTAAACATGTGGACATACCGTGATTTGTTCTCAATTGTGATTTTGACATGGTCGATCTTCCAAGTTTCTGTGCCAGAAGTGAACCAGCCCTTATAACGATTATAGGTTATTCTGACTTCACGCACCGGAAGAACAGCTGCATCCACACTGGCCAATAAATTTAATTCTTCTCCGGATTCGATGGTTGTATCAGATTTTCTGAAGTTGAAAAATACACATTGAAATATTTTATATGATCATAATACGGTCTGGTGGTTATGGGCGAGCGACTTGCAATCTGCGGGTTCGAATTCCCTTTCATCTGTGCGGGCGTTACCATGTTCGGTTAATCTCACTATTCGTCGGTAAAAGAGTATCTCAAGAGTTGGCGTTAGGTTGCCTTCCCTGTAGTCTGTCACTGCTAAATCGGGGACGGCTAGCGCAGAGAGCCCTCGTGTAGCTTTGCGTGAAACTTAAACCAAACCACACCAGTGATCATTTTAAATTATAAAGTCGCATTTCGTATGACACTCGTTGCGCGAACATTGGTCTTTCCTCACGATTTACGCAAGAAACATAGAAGCAGTAGTATAGAAACAAATCTTTTACCTTATAGTATTAATTCTTCCTCTGTTCTGTTGACTAGTAATTGAAGTCAGCAGAACAGAGGAAAAGCACAACTTTGTTTGATATTAGTACATTACAGTCGGAATGAACAAGTTCATAACTACATAAACTATTTAGTGTGAACAATTTTTTGGTACCTTTTCAAAATTAATACAAAGGAGGGTTCGGTATATTGATACTATTTCATGTAAAGGAGCCACATCCTGAGCAAAGCATCTTTTAGTAAAAAAAAATAAAAAATATTTGTGTATTCAAAAGGAATACGTTTAAGTGAAAATGATAATGAGCCATTTATAACGCAGATACTAATGTTACTGCAGTCATAATTAGAATGTTTAGTGGGATATAAGAGGCATCCTCTACGGAAACTGCTACAATCTTAAAATAATAAGTGAAAGAAAATTAGATTACCAAAATAGTTACTACAGTTATAATTGGAACTAACACTATATTAAAGTCTGATTTTAAAATTTGCACTGAAAACAATATCGCCTTCAAAATTACACCTTTTCCTAGACTTTATATTACTATTTACTTATATTAAAAGGAGTTAATCATTATATTGTTTTCTCTAGAACTCAACAGTTTGTTCAATGACCTACTTTTAATCTGCAGGTCGTAGGTTCGAATTTCGTCATCGAACATGCTCATCCTTCCAACCGTGAAGGTGTTTGTAGAATAGTATCCTAAAAGTTAAAGATGGATGGGGTTGACTAACTGCCTTCCCTCTAATTTATCATTTCTAAAATAAAGACATTAGCACAGATAGCCATCGAGTAGTTTTGCGTAAACAAAAACGTATAATAAAACTTAATTCTATCTCACAGTTTGCTCCTGAAACTAATTTCCATTTTGCAACAAGATGTACTTCCGATTTTTTTTATCAGATCTACTTACTGTGTTAGAATTATTGTGTCCGACTTTCCTGTATTTCCTACAACAGTGATATACACCTCTCCATACGTACGCTTCTGATTGTTGGACGCTTTGACTGCAATGTTAACTGGTCTACCTGCAATGGTTTAGTTAAATGACTTTTTAAAGTTTTGCTAAATCGTTTATTTAGAATACATGACACTACAAGTTTATAAAGATCGCTTTTCCAGTATGTAATTATGAAATTTAACTAAGATAGATTAGAATTAAGTTGTATTATATAAACTAGTAGATGTACCCAAGGTTAATAATTCATTAGTATAAAAGAGGCACGAAAAGTGAGTACGGCGGAAATGAAACACATACAAAAATTTGTTTTTAGAGTTTACTTCTATTTTTGATATCTTTCTCCAAATGTGCAATATCAAGAGATTAAGTAATACTGTTAGCCATTTACAGTTGGCCTTTGACGAACGGTAAGGCGTGTGTGTTTGATTTCTCCTCGGTGGTAATTCAAAAATGTAATCTCATTAGGACACTCCTTGTGTCTGATTAACCACTACTATGTCTGTCGTATCCGAACCGGCCTGATGAGTCGTGGTATTATAAGAAAGTCCTCCTCGGCACTGGATATGTCAGATGTACTTTGTTTGACGTAACATATTATCATTTGCTTCTACTCGTGCGTTCTTAGAATTACTCATCCGGTTGATTTCGGTGATGCTCAGACCAAAAATGTGGAAGGAGATAGGGAGCAAACAGAGACAAAATAGTGCATATTATAATAACATTGTCTTCAGAATTCAATTGAAGGTTTGTAACGTGTTATAGGTTAAGTATACGAACCAAATGAAATAATCCCGGCTAAATGAAACAAGTATAATATAGAAATGGTTTGTGTGTAAATCGAATTTCTTGAACAGGTTTTGTGAAATAAATGATTCTGCAGTGTAGGAATCCACCTATATAACATGTTACTATACTAAGTAATTCATATTTATTAATTGGCATAATACATTTTACACATATTAGAATACTCTATCTCTAACCCGGTAAAATGATACCATACCCAACACCAACATTTACGTTTCACTGATATTGTACTTTAAATAATAGTTATAATGAAGTTCGAACTTACCACAGTAAGGTTCCTCTCGTCTGGTAACCAGATATAGGGACCCAACACTGTCAAATTTGTGACTGTAGTAACCCATGTTACTACAGCCGCTTTCACAGCTGAAACATTTACTAGCGAGAAAGTCTTCATAGCCTCCTGGACAGGGGTAGCTTTGGTAATGGCAGTCATTTGTCATGGAGTCAATAAAATACTTCGATGAGGCTTTATGATTACAAACAAGGCCATCTATTTCGAAGAAATAAACAAGTTAACAAAATAAATAGGCAATGTATAAAGACAAAGATGTACTTTATGAAATAAGCCTATAGACATCAGGGAAGTGATTCTACGAGCTTAGAAAACGATTCAAAGTCTCAAGCGATTTCGAAGAAATGTTTAACTAGTTAGTGGATGTTATGCTGCCGAACGTAATTCTGGGTGATATTTTTTAATTAAACGATTTAACTTATATATTAACTTTCAGAATGAGTTTTATAACTAGTATTAAATAAATGTATAATTTCTTATTATGTTAGACCAATCGTCTGCATGTAGGGAAAAGCCGATACACCGATAATAATAAATTATAAAGTCTGTTCATTTATTATCAAGTATAGCCATAAAAAATTCAGTTAAATTTACATTTACGAAGAATAAACCTTGATGATTTTTATGGAGTCTAATCACAGCCTAGCAGTTGGTTTGTTAAACTTGCCACCTATTATGTACTCGCTAAAGACTATTACGTAAAGTGGCAAAATATATTCTAATTTCTTCTAAATATCATTATTTACGGGTTAAATCAAAGTAGGATTAAATATAGTAAGGAAATAGATATCTGCCACTTATTCCAGCCTATGTGTGTTGCAGTTAAAAATTGCGATATTTTATTCTTCTTTTCCATAATTAGTAAAACATATATATTTATATCTTCTGGTAAATTTTCCTAAATGTTTACCCACGTATCCTGCATATAGTAAGTTGGTCTTAAAGTTGAGCTAATCTACAAGCTTAGACGAAGGTTACATACAACAATGATTGTGCCATAGGGCTTATACTTGCTTGACCCTGTTTCTGTGTCATGTCTTTTTGAAGTGAGTTCACACTCATTTCAAGGTGTGGTACAGACACTTGTCCAAGCTAGTATGGGTTAGGAGTTATCTATTTTTAATATATGATGAGAATGATCGTTGACGTAGATAATCTAGGACTATGGAACGTAGCAATAGGGACATTAATTCTGATTTAACAGAACAAAATATAATATTGTTCATTATCTTCGTCTTGTGAAGAAATGCTTCTGACCTATTCTAGCTGCCAGGTGTATTCTGAATAACAGAACTTAGAAGCTGGCTAGTCTAGATAAAACCCTAGCAATGTTTTGTTGTATAAATAATTTTATTTATTCGTTTGTGATTGTCCATTTTCCTTTGCTATAAATATATTCTTTGCTTAACCTATTCTAGAATCTTCTGTGTATTGCAAATACTAGACAGTTACTTATGGATATTAGTGTTCTTGAATACCACAGACGTAGTGCATTACAAATACTCTTACACTTTAAATTGGTATAATAAACTATAATAACAATATAAAACAAAGCAGCAAGGAAACTATAATAATAATATAACTCTGAGCAACAACTAATTTCAATAATTTCCAATAATAAATTATACGAAAACAAGGGTTATGTTTCTGTAAGTAATGACAGAAATAGTAAGCATTGAGTGCTTATGAGAAATTAGTTTTCAAATAAAAACAGCTTGTAATGTACCAACTTTTATTAAACAGATATTAACATTGATTTTTTTGAAAACGAAAGCAACAAAAACATATTAGTATAAGTTAATACATGTTCTATTAGATTATTGATAGGAATAATGCACAATTGATTACTTGATTTAATGTCCAAATGAGAAAAAATTTCTATGTCGTGGCTTTGGCCTCTTCCTCCCTCCAGGGCATATGGTGTGAATTCGGAGCTGTACAGTATGCTGCTATGGGGTCGTTGGTAAGTAGTGGAATACACTACGATAATTTGTAGATATAATAAACTACCATACATTCCATATCAAGAAAGTCCATGGATCGCCACTACACAAACGCATTTCTTGAAATCTCGCTAATATTTGTTGAATAGAAATGTCCTTATATATATATAGTAAATAGTCCAATTTTAACATAAATTAATGCTCAGTTTGGTGCTACCTAGCATTTTATGTCTTGGGAAAAGAAGATAAAATAAATACCAATAGGGGAGACGTAATTAATCATACTATTATCATGTATAATAAATGTATCAATATCATTCAAAATATCATGTTAATGTTTGTTTGTTTCTGATACTGGGGCAAAGTTACACAAAAGGTATCTACACTAGCATATTCCTAACTTTTAACTGGTAAACCAGAGGAATGTCAGATGAGCAACAGCGCTCGCTACCAACTTCTGGGCTACTCGAATCAAATAGTGAGATTTGATCGTTATTCTAATTACGCACCCACAGCCCCAAGATGCAGAGCGCGATTTTTCCGCAGCAGTACGCGAACCACGGAATCATAGCCCGTTACGCTAATTACTCAGTAGTTTAATGTATGTTGAAGAGGTCTGTATGGCAACATAGGGAGATTTGGAAGTGAGTGGACACAAATAGTTTAAACTTACCAACAAGTCCTTTCTTTGGGTAACACATGGGTTGCTGGTTACCACCATTAGGGTAAAAGTCCACGTGTCCTATAGCTTCGTGCATGCCAACTTCTCCAGACAAAATGTTGGTGCCAACACTAGTGTGAATAACATCGACATACTCAGCATCATCAACGCTCAGGTGGACATCTTTACCTTTGCCTTCGAAGAATGGTCCAGCAGGGTCCAAAGCTAAGTAATCCGATTAGATCAAATATTTGATCAAGCAGAAATGAGACAGACTTATATATACATATACAGGACGCGATATGTCAAACTTTCAGTGTGTGTGAGGTGGTGGTAATAAATTAGGTAAACAACAAAATAGCATGGCACATTATATGACAATCCCTTTACTTTAGCGAACCAAATAATTTTCACATTTTAAATTTATTTTGAAAATTTAACGACTTTTATTTTAACATTTTCACCTACAAATGTGACCTAATGAAGGGGGAAAATGTGAAGGTTTTATTTGATTGAGAACGACTACCATGTTGAGGTTAAGTCATTTCTGTTGGAGCTTTCATTTTTTTAAGTGCTTTAAGACATGAAGATTGGAATCCATAGAAGGTGTTTAGTGCTTCCATTTGAAGTTTTTAATGAATTCTTCATGACAGAAGCTTCTCTTTTTGTTTGTTATCTCATTTTGTTTAGCCATTTAAAAAGCATTCCTTAATGTTGAGTGTGCATTTGCCTGGCTATTCAAGCACTGGATACAAAACAAGGCACCGGATAAAACATAGAATGAGTTACACAACACATACGAACCCAGTTAAAAAAGTGAAAACATCCCTATTATTAGCAGTTTTTTTGTGTGTGATTGCTATAGCGTAAAGAAAACGTTGGTTACAGTATACGATGTTGAAAATTCCAAGACGAAAAGCATTGTAAGTTTAAAATATGGGATCAGAGGGATAACAAATAATCACCCCATGGGATGACAATTAAAAGTCCATTCCAGGGGTAAAAAAAGGCAGAGCTAGGGAAATCTTATTCCTCATCAAAATGTACCCTGTATATATTGATGGACACAAACATAGTGTAGCTAACATGTATCACTCGTAAAAAATGCTTGGAAAATTATTACCACTTTTTATTTCACAAAAATAGTTTTAAAACATTTTCATTTGTTGTCATGGTTACTAGCCTATACGACCACTCACGTTAGTTATTTTTCTTAATTACAAGATACTAATTGCTAACCAGTTTTATCCACATTTTGGCTGCTTATCTGAGAAGAACTGTTCCTTCTTCATTGCGATAGATAGCACACTATCCTCTCTATTAAGAGGACCATAAATTCGGTCTTCTCTGTGAAGATGATCCAGGATCGAACTTTGTCCATTATCACAATAGAGACAGCCTTTCTGTGGATTTCCGTGAAGACAGTAGCATGTTAGCAGCCGATAGGTAGGATATAAACTAGTTAGTATTTGGTACATAGTAATATGAAACAATTAATTAATGATTAGACTCCGATAACTGTATTTTAGATTACTAACCATGACAGCGATTGATATCCGATCACTAAAACCTTAGTGTAAGTACTTAACATTTTCGTTAATATAATGTAGGAGGAGATAATCGACATTACTGTGTAGATCTAACGTCGTCAACTCATTTACTTTTAGATTTCAAACATTAAGAAGGACATTCATCATCCGAATACATATGTGTGTAAGATTAATAATTTTCGCAAAACGTTTTTTTCACGTATATGTACTTGACTTACATAGATTTAGCTGGGCTTTGCGCCCAGTCAACGTATGCAATCGGCAGGGGTTAATTAATTTTATTTTCTTTGTTTATATTTAAGCTCAGAGCTACGCAATGGGCTATCTGTGCTGTGCCCACCACGGGTATCGAAACCCGGTTATTAACGTTATAATCTTTTAGACCTTAAACTTATCGTGAGCCACTTGAGGGTTGTTAAGAATTAGCATTTTCATTTCAGAAAAGTTAATGAAATTCTAGTTGGCAGCAAAAGCTTATTAAAGAGAACAATCATTAATAACTGGTAATCATAAATACACATTTCAAAAACGCTGCTTCTCAAAAAAAAATAAGCTAGTGATATTCATTGTTATTTTTTAGATAAGGTAACACTGTATAGTTATTTTTTGTGAGTAATAAATGTATTATATTATTGTTATTTCTTTTAGAAAAATATATATACCTTGTTTACAGGTTAACATTGTGATGTTATTTGTTGAAAGAAATGAGTGTGTTACCCTATCGTTGTGCGTTAGAAACAGCGGCTGTGTGGTTATTTAGTGGATTCAATAAGGTCAAGTTAAAGCGGCTATATTAAACAATGATAATTCAGAATAGCATTACATTGCTGTCACACATTTTATCAATTCTTCAAAGTTAGTTTGATTGTTTGTAATTAAGCATAAAACGACACAATGGGTTATACGTGCTTTGCCCACCACGGGTATCGAAACCCGGATTCTAGCGTTGTAAGTCTGCAGACATACCGCTGTGCCACTGGGGGGGGGGGGCTCTTCAAAGTTAGATTTAAAATGAGTGTCTGTCCGCAAACACATAGCTCTATTAAGCTTGTTGTCAGTCTGCAATTGTTCGTTTCATATACATTGTATCGTTCTTGATTGAAGTTAAGTTTAAAAAACCAAAGCTATGAAACTGATCCGTCAACAAGCTGACTTGCTTGGTTAACTACATTTCAAGAATAATTCTTTAAAGTTGCGTATAACTATACCAGTGATCCGCTTAATCCGAGCTCCTGAAATTTCCTTAAGTCTTTTGCCCACAAAACCAGCAGCATGAGCACCAAGACTGTATCCAATGATGTGTATATTGGCTGTCGACATTCCCCTCTTCTCAATTAGTAACTTGATCAGTGCTGCTACCTGGCGTCCAACTAGTTCAGTGTTTACAGAAGCAGCGTTATAGAATGGAGGTATAGCACCTTTTCCCCAATCAACCATGACAACGTTGGCATTTTCCTGCAAAACAAAAAACAACGCAAATTTGATTACAATTAAATAACATTATGTAATTTAAATAATACTGAAGTTGTGTTTGTTTTGTTTCATTATACTACATATATATTTGAAAAGGTTTTTCGTTGTGCAAAACCTGAAGATAGTTTGATATACGGAAACATCTGTTAG